GTATTTCTTAGTTAAAAATCCAGTGTGGAAAGCTCAAAAGCTTTTCCTGATGTTTCTTTATAGATGAAATATTTAACAGTGTACAGTTCTAGAATTTGTTTTGAAATCAATGTTTTATAATTTCAACACTCTTCAACTTACTAATGGGTTACTTCCTAGAAGTTTTTTAAAAATCAATTTATTTAGTTGCTTGGAACCAGAAACATTTTTCCTCCCAATAGTTGTTTGCACTGGGTCTCAGTTTATGAGGTTTACCATATGTGGTAGATATTCATCTCAGTCCCTCAATTCATATTTAACTCGTATTATTGAACCTGACATAGCACAACATATAACAGCATCTCTGTGGGGAAATAAATGGGTTGCGTGTCCTATGGGAGTGATAGGAACATACTCACCAAAAGGAAAGGATCCCTAAGGAGACTGAACTAAGGCTCAAACTCCACCACCTACTTTTTTTCCATTTAAATCTTATAGGAAAGACAAATATGTCTGTATGTTTGTGAATCATAGAATACTTAGAGAAATATGAGTGGCATGGTAAAGTGCAAGGACAGGGGTGGGCAGGTATGGGAATGCACGTCAAGATGATCGTCTGTAAGAGTGGTAACCTTCATGTTTAGAAAGAGCTATTCGGAAAAGGGAGGAGACTGACATTTTTGGAGCATCTGTTGTGTTCCAGGACTACACCAGACACTTTACATACATTACTTACAATCCCACAGTGATCCAAAAGGGCAGTGTTAATACCCCAGGCGTTAGTTCAGGAAACCAAGGATTGGATGAATTGCTGAACTGGTGTGCCCAACTCTAAGCATAGTCTGTTTGACTCTAAAGGCCCTGTTTTTTACTTACTATGATGCCGATCAATTGTGCATCTAGTAACGTTGTGATGAGTAGTTAAACCATAATTATGAAAGTTTTAGCCATTTATTTTTTGTAAAGATCTTTCATAAATAAGTATGGTGGGGGTTTTTTTGTTTGTTTTTTGTTGGTTGGTTTGTTTTGTTTTAGCCATGTTTAAGAGGTTGATAAGCCTTTGAACAATATGGAACAGTGTGTCATGTTTTTATGACATCCTTTCTCTGTTCTACCAGACAAAACATTAAAAAGAGATAGCCAAAAAGACATAACTGGGGTCATAAATTAAAAAAAAATTATCTGTGGGTCAGAAAATAAAACCACAGAAAGCAGTGATCAAGGGCAGGGCTAGAGGCCAGTCAGCTCTTGAGAATATCAGGAACTCAAAGTGTTAAGAACAAAGAAAGAGATATATGAAACAGACACAGTGGACGTGCAGCCGACTGGCCCTGGCCTGGTACAAAAGCAAGCACTGACCACATGGCAAGTCACAGATTTCAAGAATCAGCGTACAGACCACATTCTTTAACCATAGGGCAATGAAGTTAGGTCCCAATAATAAAAAGTTAGCTTCAAAAAATATGGCTTACCCTACCAGGTATTAAAACATAAAGGTTGTAATTAAAACTGTAGTACCTAGTGTAAGAGTGGTTAGATTAATGAACAGAATAGAAAATCTAAAACAAAATAACAAAATATGGAAATTTTGTCCACGATAAAGATGATCGGTCGAAGGATACACTTCACAGACTATTGGATAGTCATGAAGAAAAATAAAATCAGGTACATTCATGCTCTACAACAGGATAAATTCCAAATGAATTGAATCAAATTGCCAAATAAATATATAAAGTGGAACCATATAGTTTTTGAATTTAAAAAATTGATGAATTTCTCTGTCACCTGGGAGTGGGGAAGACAGCTCAAATTTCAAAAAAAAAAGATTGATAAATTTGACTACTTAAAATATAAGCTCTTATATGGAAGAAAAGAAGTATATTGAAAATATAGATGATAAACTGATAGAGATTATTTGTAACTTATAATGGCAAAGATTTTCTGTTCCTAGTATATAAAGATTGTCTAAAATAGAGAAAGTAAAGATAAGTAACCCTATGAGAAAAGATGTAAACACAATTCACATAAAAATGCAAATGGCCCTTTTAAAATAACAGAAGTTGATCAAATTCTTATAATAAGACATAACAAAGTAAAATCACACTAGGAAAGCATTTCTCATCTTTCAGATTGGTAAAAATCCAAAAATTTGGCAAGGCTGTGGGGGAAAAAAGACAAGTCTACGTACTGGTAGGGATACAACAAAGTACACCTATGTGTGTGGAGGGGAAGAAGGGATTTGGCAATATTAGTTATGTTTTCAGCTCTTGCATTTAAGATTCTACCCCAAAGGTACAGTGGAAAATAATATAAAATAATGTATGCGTGAGAGTATTCTATCTGGCACTCTTTAGTAATAGTGAAACCTAATAGGAAATTGGTTGAGTGAAATGCTATTTTTTAAAGAAAAATGGGAAAACCTCTGTATATACTGCTTCAGAGTGATCTCAGGGATATGTTAGTAGTAGAAAAAAGGCAAAGTGAAGTAGAAGAAAGTATTTTAAAACTGTGCTATCATATATGAAAGAAGTATGCTATTCTATATCTGTGTGTTTGCTTAGATTTTTTTTAAAATAGAGTTTAAAAAGACTGCTAAGAGTTACATGTTATCAGTTGGTGGTGGGGGGTTGTTGGTTGGTAAGTAGAGCAGTTGTGTAAAATTCAAAAGCAAAATGTCATAAATGAACCTGTATATTGAGTTGGTGGCCAAATCACACAGAGAATAATTATTTCAGGTGACTTTTAACTGTAGTGATTTGATTGGATACGCCTAATGAAATATCTTAAGGGCGAAAAATGACAAAGAAATCAAACCCTTTCGTAATCATTTTGTTGATCATAACTTTAATAATCATGTTATTTTGAAGTAATTGCATACGTACAGAAGGCTAATACAATATGCTATTGGAACCAAGTTTTTCAGCATAAGGCAGAAAATAGTTATCAAATAATCTAAGTAAAAACCCTGAATGATACGTATTGAGATTATTTCTGCTATATTATTTGCTTGAAAAAAATTTAGGAGAAAATTGATGAGAATAGATGTAAAACAAAATTGGCTC